TTTAATGTTTCTACGATAACAGTGTTATGCATGATTTGTACTTTTGCGTCATATGATATTGATGATGAATTATTTATTACATTAGATCCCCCAAACAATATACCCTCCTCTATACAATGTACCCGGGGGGGGGGGGACACTACCAGAAATACACGTGTGGTCGGTAAGAGACCCTGGATATCTTACAAGGCGATTTACGGTAGTTGCATATTTTAAACTATGCAAAGACACCTATCGCTATACAGTCAACTCTCGTTAAATCCGACCATAGTTTTCTTTGATTTATCTATGTTATATATATATTTAATTAAAATACATAGTTAACTCCCATTAGATTGATATAACGACCATGCAGATTCTATTGAATTTATATTGTTTACAATAGGATCTGCATGGTCGTTAATTTGGATAATGTTTTTATGTTTATATACATGGACCGATAGTACGTAAATACAACCAGTTTTACACAGCAAATTTATAAGATCATTTGAATATTACATTTACTCTTTAATTTCAATCAAATGAATTTTTATTTTAAAACCTTAATTTTTTGGTTGAAACTTGAATACTGTATCTTACCAAAAATAAGCACGTAAAACCGTGAAGAGGGACAACTAAATTTAAATTACAAAAATCGTTTTAAATGACAATAATTTTGGATTGAGAGGAATACGTAAGCACCATTCTGTTTTTTAGATCCCAAAAAGTGATGGATGCTTAACGTTTGTAGGATATTGTAGTTATTTTATTTTGGTCGGCTGGACTTTTTGTTCTATTCGAAAGATAACTATGGTATAATATCGATGCTGAATAAAATTCATCGATTAATACATAATGTAGAGCACCTCGAGTATTCGGCCTTACAGACGTTAACATCAATAAAATTTATCTTAAAAGCTAACCACCATAATACGTACAAGTAACTAAATATTATTAGCATGGATACTGCATTTATCACATTTGCACTTTATACCATACACATTACGCAACATTCGGCAGCGTTCTCTATTATCTAATGCAGGCAAATCAACATAATTAACCGTGATCATATTGTCTTTTTCGATTTTTTTCTCTGTTTTCAATTCCGACGTATTGAATTCTGCTTCGGGCCTGGCATTCGGATCGAGAAAAGCCAATGGATTGAATATCAGACCATAATCTTGGGGACCCGATCCTTCAACCTTGGTCACCCCGCTGACGTCACTGACACCACTCTCGATATTCAACTTGGCATTAGGATTACAATTATGATTAACGAGAGAGGTTAATGGGTAAAGGGAAATCGAATCGGTGAGAGCTGTTCCAGTCCTGACATTGCTTTTTATGGCAGACAAACATGAGATGTAGACCCAAAAGTCAAAGTTAAAGTCGCTATGCGGAATACCCAAAATTTGCATAATCTTTTGGTAGATTTCGACAGAGATCGCGGTGAAAGTGGCGTTCTCGTGTTCCCAGCGTCGGAGATGCCGGATTTCATCAATGTCTAAAGGACATATATTACGTAGTACGCCGATTGCAAAGAGCTTGATGATAAACAAATGGTAAAGTGAGGATGTTGTTTCTTCATCCTTTACAATTTCGACGATACCGGTGAAATCTTTTCCACAGATGAGCCGATGATAAAGGTCGTACGCCTTTTTATAACATTTGTTATCACAGAAAAATTCGGTGCAATCTGATCTCGGACAAGGATATTTGAAGGTCTTGAGGTTCTTATTGCAATTATCACAGCGCGTTTTTGCTTTGAAATTGACACAGAGAAACGGCCTTTCTTCAAAGATCACTGTATTTGCCGAGATATCGGATGCCGCTCTTAGATCATAATGGGGTTCCTCTCCCCATTCTTCAAAATTAACTTTGACCAATTTAACTTGCGACGAAGAAATGTTTTCGATTTTGTTTTGTAATTCCTGAAAAATTTCATCATCAATTCGGTGCGTTTGTCTCTTATCCCAAGGATACGATCCTCTAAACGTGTACTCTCCGCACTTTTCAACTTTTTCTTTATATTCGTCACCGAATTTAGCACATCCCTCCTCGCATTTCTTTTTACTATCAATCTGTAATCGAATCACTTCCGGCAACCACTGGAATGGGATATTCTTTTCGGCGTATTCTTCCTTCCATTCAAGTAACTCAGCACAGGAATTCTGCGTATGTAATAAAAGATTCAATTTTTCATACGCTTGACATTCACGAAGTTTTGCTTTTAATTTGAGCTGAATCAATTTGCTGTCGTATTCCAAATCTTTACTTTCTTTACCAAGCGTTGGAATTATTAACCCGAATTTGCTTCGTTCGTGATCTATGTTGAATTGGTCAATGGTGTTGATGGCACGCTTCGCATCTACTAATGCGAGTTCGGGGTACCCAAGTTTGAGTAATGCGTAGGCGCGATTGCTCCAGAGAACTGGATCGTTGGGGTTGAGGGTGACGCCTTCCGAGTATTCGTCGTAAGCTTTTTGGTAGTCACCGTTTGATATTGCTGCGTTACCGTCGTTTCGACGGGTCATCGACTTGGTTATAAGTGGAAAGGAAGAAAAAGTTGACATTCCTTGCAAATGTGGATGTGATAATTGGAGCTGTGCTAACTTTTGAAATTAGGTTAAAATAGCAATAACAATAATAATCTTTTTTTTTAGCGATATCTCATTAAGTTTTGTTACCAGCTCTTCCATCATTTTATCTGCAATTATATTTTCCATGTTCCAGCAAGGTTTAATAATTACGATTACTCGACAAATTTATAAATTGAGATGACACGTGCACATAACCATGAGAACATTTGCACATGATTCTTTTTAAGTATTACAGTACATGTATCATGTTACAATTGGAATTCAGTCATGTGTGATTTAGCACAAATGTGTATGATTTACATGTACATGTATATAAAACCTGATCTTTTTTTTTAATAACAGTACAAGTTCTTGGTTTTGACGCGCGTATTATTTTATAACATATAAAAACCATATGGTTCAGCTAGTGTTACAATAATTCAATGACTTACTCGCATTTCTTTCAGCTCATGTTGGAAAACAGAACGCACAAATATTTCGACCGCAAATCCTCCGAATGGAGTATTCTAGGATTTATAGACGAATGTGATGGAGTCTTTTACACAGAAGATAGGATATTACATTGCGAGTCTTGAGAACATCGCTATTATTGAAGGAGGAACATAGCTACTGCTCGATAGATATAGATGGGGCGAGCAAGAGCATTTTTTTGTTGGAAATGAAAACAGGAAATAGGTGGTGGCGGGGATTCTTTTAGATCCGTCATTCAAGGTTACAAGCAGAGCCACGAAGCTCACTTCATACTTCGGGAATGTTCGGGTCAGCTTATAGCCTTGACGTCAGGAAATCTAAGGGTCTCCGGCGCCGCCCCAACAGGGCTGGTTTCGTTCACTTCTACACACAAGACGAGAACTCGCTGCTGTAAACGCCACGCGCATACTCGCATGTATTGCCGACCAGAGCCTGGTTTCCATTGACAATCTTTTTGACCTCTTTCATGGTTCGGTGTCAATTCAGCTCCAAAATAAGAAGCTCGAAGATTCTATGATCGGATGAAAGATGGGATATTCAACAATCCATTTACGGGATGGAAAATCTAATGGGAATCCGGCATGCTACTTGAGTATTGCTAATTTCCGAATATTCTATACTAAGTACTCGTTCAGTTCGCCAAAAAGCAAAAGCACGGGAACGCAAATTATGAATAAGTAAGATTTTTTTCAACAATTAGAAATCAAATACAACAATAATCCAATGCGAGAATTTTTTGACCTTCGTATTAGCAAGATTCCATTCGTCAAACAAAAAGCGTAAGATTTAATCGATTCGTTCGATGAAGAGGAGGAGATAAACGATGTATGGATGTTATGGAAGAAGCACGAACGCGAAGACAACGATTTTTCTTATCCATTTCACAAATTATTTGTAAATATTCCTCTTATACCAGAAAAATTTAAAAATAGTTAAAATTTCCAGTTTAGAGAGTTTAACAAAGAAAAAGTGTCTGGAGGTAAGTTGCTACAATAGAAAGCATATCCTGGAGAAATTACTAACCCATGATGTTACGATATACAGGAAACGATTGCAACCACCTATACACGCTTGCGTGGGCCAAGTGTCAATTCCCGATTCCTTATTGATGACATGGGAACTCTTCTGACAATTCGAAACGATTTTCATCAATCATTTGACAATTTCTTTGATAAACTTTGTAATCAGAGTCCTCAGCAACGAAAGTGTTATTTAACCGCGACACCTTGATACTCCAAAGTTTACGCAGCTTGTGACTCATAGAAGTTGTCACTTCTGGTTTGGACGTTTTTAGTATATTGCGTATGTATCTCGTGTTTGTCTTATAGTTTTTAGCGAAAATTTGTCAAGCTAGTGGCACTGTTCTCCAATGCCTTCGTTTAGAAAATTGATATATAATTATAGTATAACATTAGATCAACCAAAGAGCCCTCAGTTCACTTCCACAATTCGACATCTACGGGGATTACGACAGAACGTTCGTTGCTGAATTATCCGAAAAACCATGTCAAAAAAAAAGAAATTAAGATGATCAAGAAATAGTGCCGGTAGGTCCTTAAGTACAGTTACGAAAATCTGTTCCTCTTAATCATTGGCTCTTTTCTGCTCATGAGCGAACACGCAAACATCAGAAGATCACCGTCGATGTTGTTCAAGAGCAATCAAACGATGAGGGCCCTCATAGTAATCAAATTCAAAAATCAATAAATGTTGTAATTTTCTTCCGAATTCAATTCGCCATCTTTCGCTTACGATTATATTGTAAATGCGTCTCCACCCTTGCTGATTTTAAGTGACAATGAACCTAATGATTCGGATGCTGAAGAAATTGATACGGAACGAAATGATGCAGAAAAAATTAAGAATCTTATTGTGGCATTGTGGCTTTTGTTATATATATAATTTGTACCTCTTCTGTTTAATCTCCTAGGACGAGGTGGACATTCGTAACAAGTTAATCGCAGTTTTGGACGCAAAAGACAAAACCTACATGTCAGTATACCTTATGGAATCATAGATTTTTCTGATGATAAAACGCGCGAAAAAACAACGTAATGCAATCGCTACCAACAATATATCGATATTAAAAAAACCTAGATATTTGACCTAACCCAACATTAATTTTGAATGTTTTATGTTTGAAAAAAAGCATTGTTGATACAACATCCTGCTACTAAATAAGTGCTACGAATGCCACGGAGAAATTCTTACAGTCCCACTTCAAGCATTCACCGTGCTCGCCTGCGGGCATACGTATATTGCATCGAACATGTGTTCAAAAATATATCAATGCAGACAGAAATAAAATGTCCTGCATGGCCCCACACGAATTGAAATTAATCGAAAGATCGAAGCTAACATCCGCAGGTGCCTCTGGCAATAATGATCCCGCCAGATCAGCTCAAGCACGAAAGACAATGACCCGTCTAACCCGGGTCATCCGACAGTTGAACCCGTGGGTTACCACGGATGGTCAACAGATATACCCGGTTAAGGGTTTTACCCGTTGTACCGATCCGTGATTCAAATTTTATGAATTTCATAAAAAAATTATTTGTGCTCACTATTTCTAGTAAATTTTTACAAACCATTCCGTTTAACAAATAATAATTTGCTCACCATTCCAGGCGCCAAATGGGTTCTTTTAGAGGTAATTTGATTTCCTGATTTATCGCATTAGATTCTAGATTAACAAATTCAGATTCTGAATTAGATTAGCCTAGCAAATGAACTCTACGCTGGAACTAACCGACTGGTTGACTACCCACATTTACCCGGGTAGCTACGACCGCAACCCGGGTCCAATCCCTACAATGAACAAGGCGACTAAAGCCCCGCAGGTGAAGAGAACATCGATTCTACTTCCTTGTGGAGTGACAATATCCTTTTGGGGGATGGCCAAATCTCAGGTATTAATATAATCTCACGTGCATGTGTTAAATGAAATCTCAGGAAGGGGGTCCCTATAACAAAATGGATATTAGTTAATATTTGTCACTCCCCTTGGCGACTGACAAAATGCGTTCAAAGGTTTCCGGTTGTGTTGAAATTGCCCGTTGATCATTATTGCAATTCTCGGCGCAGTCTATCTTGAGAAAGGAATTATCGATCCTCTCACTGACTTTATTCCCCTAGTGCAACCACATTATCGCAGTCACTCCAAAAGGGTCGCGCGACTACTCGAAGCATACAGGCGAGGGAAACGACACCGAGAGAAACATCTTCCCAAGTCGACTGTCGAAGATAGAATGCAAGGGTTTATCTACGCTTCTCAAAGGGAAGCTGGCCGAAGCTGACGATGACGAGGGTATGATTCGTCGGCAAAAAGTTTCGCCCGCCTCTATCAGAAAGCAAATAAGGCGGAAAAACGTGCAACACATGCCTATCAAGAGGGTTACCGATCCAACGGCTAGAAATCGAGTATATAATGAAATTATGCCCCACCTTCCTGGCATCACGAAAGAAATTTGCGCAAGACAAGGGCGATATACACTTTATTTGGTAAGATAGGAATGAAAAAAAATAAGTGGGTTCAATCATATAATGCAGGTACAATTTCAAGATTCAAATTTATAGTATTTTTACGAGATTTTCCGACCAGTTTTACTGAAAAAAATTTCAAATTTCCTAATTTTGGGGATGCGCTAAAGCGTTATACGTTGGGTGATCTGTCCGTTAAACAAGCCAATAAGAATGCGTAAATTTTTGAACAGCCCGGAAAACTTGCGCTTAAATCTGGAAGGCAATTTTATATATCGATATACTTTTTATTTCCATCTTAAATACGTATCACGTGAGGTACAAAACTTTAGCACATCGAGCATCGGATCACCAACCAAATTAGCTAACTAGCCAATAGAAAATTCACATGCACCCTTTTAATTATCGATATATAATTAAATTTCTAGTTTACTCCTCATTCTTCGTAAACTTGCTGGAGGCATCACCTCAACAGGTCAATATAACATCAACCTCGTCGCTAATTTCGTACATAGTGAAATATTTCAAATAAATATGGAGATACTACTTGTATCTCATTTGTCCTGATCGATGTTACCTAGCCCTATAAAAAACCAACGATATGTTATGCAGTGTTGTACAATGACAGGGTATAATTACATCTCGATCGTAACGGTTACTGCCAGAGCCGAAAGTATTAAACTTCTTTACTAAGTCCTTAGATGTATCCCATTAAATATAACTGCGTGTCGAAAAGTTACGCATTCATGCTAGTAGAACGTAAAATACCTCACTGCGTGGCGAAAAGTCACGCGCATATGTGCCCGCGGACAAATAATCATCTCATCCAGTTTGGTTTTGCATGGCTGAGACTCGTTTACCGCCTCCAAGTACACCGGATTATTAAAGTACAACCGCCTATAACCCACCCAGTTCCGCCAACCGAACAAGTTTAAAGTATTAACCATTTCATTATATCTTCATCCTCCAAATTTTGAATTATATCGCCATTAGTAATCTCAAGAACTTGGTTCTCTCCAGTGGGGTCAGGTCCTAACCCATATGAGAAGGATCGATAGCTATCATCTAGAAGATGAAAAATTTAAGGCTAATAGACATCCCCTATAGAAGGCAGGATATTTCGAATATAGTAATTGAACAATTCTTGTGGTTTCGAACGACAATATTTCATACCTAAATGCCAAAACCATGTCTCAACCGTCCAATTGTGTTTCAGAGCTCGCTTTATTATAGGTTTATAGCCTCTATCACCAGCAATCAGAACTAGTATACCGGGGTCCTTGACATGATTGTTTCCTTCTCACGGTGGGTTTTACCGCGATCGAACACATTCACCTCAAACCCTTGCTCCTGAATGCGAGCCCACAACGAATCATTGGGTGGCGGACGAGAACCGACCAAGACCTGAGCACTGCCTAGTTTATTGTGGTGAGAAGTCGACCATGGTCAATCTGGAGTTGTTTAAAGTAATAGGAATTTCTTAGTCAAAGGTGCCCAATCGCTCGAGTTTGCCAATGGTGTACTTTCCCTTAATCCAGATATTGGAGTTGTCAACGAAGACTAGTAGATGTCCTATCTATTAACGGAGATGCTCTCGAAATTTTACAACTATGCTATTCTTTTTGCTGGACCAAGAGATAGTCCAATATCTCTGAGCGCTTCTTTTGTCAAGAGAAGGAAGTCTTCACCAGCAACATTATTTGCTTGATCACTTCGACGTCATTAATATTAAGCTATAACCCATCCTCAGACTCTAAAATACCAATAACTTGTGCAGGCTCGCACTTCTTTTAAAAGATTTCTCGGCACCAGTATCTTGATTCCTTTTTTGATCTTGCAGACACTGAGAAAGCTGCGATTTGCAAATCGGTTAGCCAATAACCTTTTTCTCTCGTCAAAGTTTCGTTCAGGCCAGTTCGATTATTATATGCGAAGATACGAACCCTTTTCTGAAATATCCACATAACGATAACGATGCATAATTCTGAGAGTCAATGTGATAAATTGGCGTGAGGAAGAAAACACAGTGGTGAGGGCAAATCTTTTTTATCACTAACGCTAAATCA